GCACTGTCCTCTGAAGATGCTGGCCACAGAGACTGGCGAAACGTTAAGAGCAACCTTGAGAACATGGCCAAAGAGCCCCAAAAACCCACAATAACCATTTGTTTGTTTGGACGTATGAAATTGTCCTCCAGTTATAAAAAAAATCCGCTCATAGACAGGGAATGGACTTTTTTTATATCTTAAAAATGCCCATTTATATTTATTATATTTTTTTAGATGACACATTACCTTTATTATTTTAAAAACAGTTTTTGTATCATATTTAAAGAAAAACAATTACTTTTCCCCCAGAGGTCTTCCCAAACCTACATGTATTTCCATTATGAAGAGCCAAATGTACCATAGCATCCTTTATCACTCTGTTTTATATTCATATTGAATAATGTTGGCAAAAGTAAAGAGGGAGAGAGGGAGAGAAAGCAAAATATCATGGCACATGAAAGATTAACAGATTTATTTTAGCGTGAGCTTTTGTGGATCAAAACCTACTTCACCCCACAAAAACCTACATCCAAATCTATTCGTTTTCTTAAATGCCACAATAATTTGCTCCCCCTCTCCTTTCTGCTTTTATTTTTCCCATTTAATTTTGCCGACATGCTGAGACAGACTAACACGGCTACTTCTTTGGATATTAATATATATTTTAGATAGAAAGTACTTGTCATTCTGTATCACCATGTTGTCAAACATTCGTTCCCATTCTAAGTTTATGTGTTAGATTCTAAATAACCATTTTCAAAATATTTTGTGTGAATAAAAGCAAAGGTTAATATGATTCATGCTGCAGTCCCAGTGAGTTTCTGCTTCTCAGTAGTCTTACAGAAGATTGCACTCTGGAGAAACAAACTTCTTATGACGTATACTGTACTTGATGTGATTGCAGTGGCCTTTTAACTAGAATAATCTTTTAAAGAGAGACTGAAAATCTTCCCCATTTCCCAAAACCAATACAAGCCCAGTCCCTTCTGTGAGGGAGTGTCAGGCTTTCCTGACCTGTGGGTGGTTCCAGGAGGTAAATGTCGGAGCACCTGCTTCTGACACATTACTCCCACACTACATAATGTTATATTATTAGGTTCATAACTACTGGATAAGTGCTGAAAATTACAGAGGGTGCACTATACTCCTGTATAGCATATTTTGATAGCAGTACGATTCATCTGTTTGTTATTCTTTCCTTGCCAATTCCAAACATTATGACTAGGAGACATTTGCCTGAAGAACATTTCAGAAAATGCATTACAGAAATGCAGAACAAACATGTAATGTATTATATACAACACAGATATAGGTAAACCTTGTTCGAAACAGAAGTTTAGTGGAAAGGTTTCAGAACGTAGAGAGCTTTAGATTGTCAGGTCCGCAGCTTGGGTGTGGTCCTGGACTCAATCCTGAGCTTGAATACACAGGTTTCAGTGGTGGCCATGAGTGCATTTGGACATTTAAAGCTGATGTGCTAGTTGTGCCTGTTCTGTGACATGTGTGACCTGGCCACAGTGACACATGCCTTAGTTAGCTCCCATTTGGATTACTGCAAAATGCTCTATGTGGGGCTGCCATTGAAGAGTGTTTGGAAACTTCATCTGGTTCAAAATGCTGCAGCCAGACTGCTGACTGGCGCTGGTTATAGGGAGCATGTAATTCCGTGATTACAACAGCATCACTGGCAGTCAGTCTGTTTCTGGGTCCAACAAAGTGCTGGTTATCACCTTTAAAACCCATATCAGTTCCACCACCTTCCCAAGCTTTTTCAGCGAGGACACAAGAGAGGACCTTCTCAGTGGCTGTTCACAGGCTTTGAAATGCACTGTCCTTCCCTTTTGTCCTTCCATCATCAGATAGAGACCTTCCTCTTCAGGTAGGCTTTTAAGCAATAAGTTATCTCAGGAATGCTGTATCTTAACTTACAGGTTTTTAAATGTTTTTGTATTGTTTCTAAACTTCATTTTAAATCTTAATATATGTTTAATTTCTTAAAATGTGATAGTTACATAGTGTTTTAAATCTGTTGTTTCATCTGTTGTGAGCTCTAATGGGTCCCCTTTGGGGAGAAAGGTGGCATATTAAACAAACAAACAAACAAAGATTACATCAGTTTAGTTGTTTGAATTGTTTTTGTAGCCTGTCTGAGTCACTGGTTGTTTAATCTGAACAAAAAGGAAATCTTTTGATAGCCTGTTTTATATATATGTTTTCCTGAAGTATTGCCATGTATGAAGCAAAAGAAAGACAGAAGTTTATCAACGATGCTCAGTATCTGAGAGAGATGCAGCACAAGATGGATTCAGAATATCAGGTAGGCAAATTTTATTCACAGTGGAATTCATGGTATCAATTTTTCCATGGAAGTCATGAACACAGAATATCAAAAGGTGGATGTATCAGTGAGTGGGGGAGCAGTATGGATAGCAAAGCACTCAGGTGCATCATCGCTTTAATGCAAGCTCTATGTATCACCTCCTTTCAAGCAGATTTGTTTCTCCTAGGCTTGCTTGAGAAAACAAGAGCCAACCAGAGAGCAGACTGAGAAGAAGCGAGATCATCACACCAGACCAGAACTGAGGCAGACTAGTATATCTTCCATTTCTGCTGTGCGTACTTGTGAAAGGCCATGGATTTCAAGACTTCCCATTAATAGAAAGGTAACTATTTGATGGGATACCAAGTGTGGTGTAGTGGATAGAGTAATGGACTAGGACTCAGGAGGCTTGGGTTCAAATCCCTGCTCAGCCATGGAAACTCACTGGGAGAGAAGAACTGAAAAAAGAATTTCTTAGATATCTCATTTACCTTGAAAGACCTTTTAGGGTCACTGTAAATTGGTTCCAACTTGACAGCACAGAATAACAACAGTTGCAACTGGTTGCTACCAGAAACTCTGCTTGTCTATTAGGACTGATGTAAGTCACTTCTGACTTAAAGTTACACAACAGCAACAACTATATGATAACTTTAGACAGAAAAATCAAGAAAAAGATTTGTTTGTTTTTTAAATCATAGCAAGGCATGATTTTTGTCCTAGAAGACAACATTACACTTAATAGTTACATTGGAGGCTAAAAGTCTTAGCCCGCTTTGGCAAATACTCCTTAAGAAAATCTCAATGCTCATTAATCTCTGTACTGTTCTTAGTGAAGAATGGAGGTATAGGGAAGCAGGAAACTACAGATAGATTCCTACCAGAGATGGGCAAGACTTAAGTATGAAGGCCCCGACATAGCACCACAGGTATATTTTAGATAGAAAGTACTTGTCATTCTGTATCACCATGTTGTCAAACATTCGTTCCCATTCTAAGTTTATGTGTTAGATTCTAAATAACCATTTTCAAAATATTTTGTGTGAATAAAAGCAAAGGTTAATATGATTCATGCTGCAGTCCCAGTGAGTTTCTGCTTCTCAGTAGTCTTACAGAAGATTGCACTCTGGAGAAACAAACTTCTTATGACGTATACTGTACTTGATGTGATTGCAGTGGCCTTTTAACTAGAATAATCTTTTAAAGAGAGACTGAAAATCTTCCCCATTTCCCAAAACCAATACAAGCCCAGTCCCTTCTGTGAGGGAGTGTCAGGCTTTCCTGACCTGTGGGTGGTTCCAGGAGGTAAATGTCGGAGCACCTGCTTCTGACACATTACTCCCACACTACATAATGTTATATTATTAGGTTCATAACTACTGGATAAGTGCTGAAAATTACAGAGGGTGCACTATACTCTTGTATAGCATATTTTGATAGCAGTACGATTCATCTGTTTGTTATTCTTTCCTTGCCAATTCCAAACATTATGACTAGTAGACATTTGCCTGAAGAACATTTCAGAAAATGCATTACAGAAATGCAGAACAAACATGTAATGTATTATATACAACACAGATATAGGTAAACCTTGTTCGAAACAGAAGTTTAGTGGAAAGGTTTCAGAACGTAGAGAGCTTTAGATTGTCAGGTCCGCAGCTTGGGTGTGGTCCTGGACTCAATCCTGAGCTTGAATACACAGGTTTCAGTGGTGGCCAGGAGTGCATTTGGACATTTAAAGCTGATGTGCTAGTTGTGCCTGATCTGTGACACGTGTGACCTGGCCACAGTGACACATGCCTTAGTTAGCTCCCATTTGGATTACTGCAAAATGCTCTATGTGGGGCTGCCATTGAAGAGTGTTTGGAAACTTCATCTGGTTCAAAATGCTGCAGCCAGACTGCTGACTGGCGCTGGTTATAGGGAGCATGTAATTCCGTGATTACAACAGCATCACTGGCAGTCAGTCTGTTTCTGGGTCCAACAAAGTGCTGGTTATCACCTTTAAAACCCATATCAGTTCCACCACCTTCCCAAGCTTTTTCAGCGAGGACACAAGAGAGGACCTTCTCAGTGGCTGTTCACAGGCTTTGAAATGCACTGTCCTTCCCTTTTGTCCTTCCATCATCAGATAGAGACCTTCCTCTTCAGGTAGGCTTTTAAGCAATAAGTTATCTCAGGAATGCTGTATCTTAACTTACAGGTTTTTTTCATGTTTTTGTATTGTTTCTAAACTTCATTTTAAATCTTAATATATGTTTAATTTCTTAAAATGTGATAGTTACATAGTGTTTTAAATCTGTTGTTTCATCTGTTGTGAGCTCCCTTGGGTCCCCTTTGGGGAGAAAGGTGGCATATTAAACAAACAAACAAAGATTACATCAGTTTAGTTGTTTGAATTGTTTTTGTAGCCTGTCTGAGTCACTGGTTGTTTAATCTGAACAAAAAGGAAATCTTTTGATAGCCTGTTTTATATATATGTTTTCCTGAAGTATTGCCATGTATGAAGCAAAAGAAAGACAGAAGTTTATCAACGATGCTCAGTATCTGAGAGAGATGCAGCACAAGATGGATTCAGAATATCAGGTAGGCAAATTTTATTCACAGTGGAATTCATGGTATCAATTACTATTTTATTTTTATTTATTTATTTTATTACTTGAGGCTTGCAGAAGGACACCTGAGACAGGTAAAGTTTAATCAAGGTAGATAAGGCAGCTGAGGTCATATCAAGTAGGTAAGCTAAGCTAATGTTTATGATAAGTATTGGATAGCTGGTGTAGTGGATAGAGTAATGGACTAGGACTCAGGAGGCTTGGGTTCAAATCCCTGCTCAGCCATGGAAACTCACTGGGAGAGAAGAACTGAAAAAAGAATTTCTTAGATATCTCATTTACCTTGAAAGACCTTTTAGGGTCACTGTAAATTGGTTCCAACTTGACAGCACAGAATAACAACAGTTGCAACTGGTTGCTACCAGAAACTCTGCTTGTCTATTAGGACTGATGTAAGTCACTTCTGACTTAAAGTTACACAACAGCAACAACTATATGATAACTTTAGACAGAAAAATCAAGAAAAAGATTTGTTTGTTTTTTAAATCATAGCAAGGCATGATTTTTGTCCTAGAAGACAACATTACACTTAATAGTTACATTGGAGGCTAAAAGTCTTAGCCCGCTTTGGCAAATACTCCTTAAGAAAATCTCAATGCTCATTAATCTCTGTACTGTTCTTAGTGAAGAATGGAGGTATAGGGAAGCAGGAAACTACAGATAGATTCCTACCAGAGATGGGCAAGACTTAAGTATGAAGGCCCCGACATAGCACCACAGGTACCATGTGTTCCCTCCCCCATGCCCTGACTGGCTGGCCAACTCACATGTTGTTGTATGCCACTAGGGTCTTCCTTCTGTGGTGGTGGGCCAGTGTGGGCAAGAGCTTGGGCTGTCATTCCCTGCCTCCTCTAGTAGCTGACCACTCAGCCGAGGAGGCAGGATGGGTATTCTCCCTGCTCGGTTGTTAAGTGGCCAGCTGCTAGAGGAGGTGGGGATGAGCAGTCCAAGCTCCTGGTTGCACCGGCCCACTGCTGCAGAAAAACCCATCAAGCATGTTTGAATGTGGACCTCCTGATTGCAGGACACACTCCCAGAACCATAGAGAAGACTACTTACTTCTGAAGACATCTGAATAGAGATGTCTCACTATTTGGGTTGTTCTCGCTATTTTCCTAACATTGATCATCCTTGTTGGGAGCAACTATTTCTATAGAGTTGCAAAGAGCATGAACATAAGAAATAACCTTTCATAGCCTTTTCAAGCATATTTAATACTGCTTGCTTTTGTTCAGGAGGTTTTTAGTCTATATTGTTTCATATAGGAAACAAAATTGAAGGGCTGTAGAAAAACATGATGTTCTTACTTTACATCATTTCATAGGTGTAGGTACTCATATGTGTGGGAAATGTTTCATATTATACTTCATTCTTGGTAGTGTTCCATCTTCCTGCTCAGTAATTAGAAATTCCATGTAGACCTCCCTTCTTTGCAGGAGAAAGCAGCAGACATGGGATATTTTTATAACTATCTGTTACAGGCTCAGCATATGTTATAAGAACTGAAAAGAAAGTAAGCAAGTAATTTCAGTTTCACAGTAACATACATCTGATTCCCCAAAATCCAGAAGTTAATTGTAAGATTCTCACCTTTTACCATACCTTTTAACAATTCCGCACCTAAACCCAATCTGATGTAGTGGTTCTCTTTCCTCATCTCTTGCACAAGAACTGGGGAAGAAGCCTTATACTATCCATGTGGCAGATCAAGACCAACATTGACTCGAGGTTCAATCCAGAACAACCTTTTTTTTCTTTTTAATTTCTAAGCATCCTCATTCTTAGTACCTGTGTTTTTGATCAAAAAGAAGCCTTTTATGTTGAGATGTATGATACTACTAGGGGGAGAACTCTGCAGGGTTCTCCCCCTAGTATAGATCATGGGCAAGCAGTTATACTCATGAGAAGTTACACTTCTGAATTTGCCAAGTCAGTAGTCATGACCCATATTTCAAAACACAGGGTAAATGTAGAGATCAGGGTAACCAAAACAAAACAAGATTGAAAGGAAAACAAACAGGCTACAAGGAAGTAAAACAACACAGGCTACAAGGAAGTAATACATTATATATGAAATGTTATATTAGCAGGCTAAATAAATTCCATGATAAATTTTCCTAGAGAAAGTTTGAGTTCCTTAGAACATACATTTTCAGAGGGATATGATCTCAATTTAAACTGTTACATGTTTAAAATTGCAGGGTTTCACTACCAATATATATCTAGGTCAGCAATGGCAAACTTATGGCACGTCTGCCACAGCTGGCACGCGAGCCATACTCCCCCTCCGCAGCCAAACCTCAGGAGGCGGCTGCAGCTACGGTGCTGGTGCTTCGATGGAACACCTGGGGCACTGGTGGCAGATCCAGAGTGGGGTCTCGAGGCACCTCCGTGCCCAGGATTCCCCCTTCTGTCACCACTTCCAGTTCCACCACTGCCACTTCTGGTTCCACTGCTGCAGTACACCAGGTTTGGGCTTTTTCCCCCAGTTTGGGCACCTGGGCCCATAAAGATTCACTGCCACTGATCTAGGTGGTAGTGACAGAGTTTTAACATCCAAAGTGTGTAGGTTTCTTCAGGTTCAGATGAGATCTGTACAAATTTTAAAGAGGATCATCCTACCAATAAACTCCTAGTACATTCCTTTGGGAAAAGAGCACATTGCATGTATTGTACTATTTTATTTTTATTTATTTATTTTATTACTTGAGGCTTGCAGAAGGACACC